TTTATTATTCAATAACTATTGTAAGAAATATAGTAGAAAATCTGTATTTCACATATATGAAAGTAACTTTTCAAAATTTTCATTTTTTCATTCTAATTTTTTTAAAATAACTTTAAAAAAGAAACTAAAATCGCGTTTTAAGCTTGAAACATTTTTTGAGGGTCAATTTTAGATTTTTGATTCACACTTACTGTATTGATAAAAATTACAAAATATTTCCTAAGTACCCCTAGGGCGTGTTGGCTAATGCAACACGCTATGTATAACCCGTGTAGAAATTTACCGTGGAAGTGTATGAGAAACTGTCCAGTTGCGCTAGATTCAATCTAGCAACTAGATGGGAAAAAAATTGGACAAGTGCGAGTTGTACTCGCACTGCAATGGCGGGTTCCGCACACAAATATTAAAACAATACTTGTAACATTGATCGGTAATTGGTAGAATTAAAATAAACAATTATAAAAATATATTAAAATCATTTGATAAAAAAAAATAACTAAAAAAAGTTAAAGTATTGTATATCTAATATTGTAAACAATAATAAGCAGAGGAACTATAATAAATTTTGAAAATTTTGTTCCTCTGCTTATTATTGTTTACAATATTAGATATGGGGCATTCCACGCCAAGTCGGACACCTTTTGACTTTTGCATCTCCGATTTTTTTCAAATATTTTTTTTCTTTTAGTGCTGGTTGAAAGGAACTTCCATGATTTTTTTCAAATTTTTTCATGAAGTAATTTAAGAGATCTGGGTTTTTGAAAAATCACGTTTTTTACATAAATTTTTTTTTTAAATGCTTATAACTCGGACAAAAATTGATCAAATTGGACGTTCGATATATGAAAATTTTTGTTTTTACACGTAGTTTTTGATAAAAATATTTAAAAAAAATTTTTTTTTAATTTACCAAAAAAATTTTAAATTTTAAAAATAAAATTTAATTTTTAAGAATGTATGTATCGATCGATTTTTTTCAAAATTTTTTGTAAGAAACTGGTACTAAATTAAGAATTTTTAATCCTTGTCTGATTGTGGGCAAACGATGGGATCTATTTATTTTGAAATTTTTAATTTTTGTAAAACGGTAGGTAGCCAAATGCCTAACTTGCAATTTGATCAAATCACTTTTTTAAACAGTAAGAAGGTTAAGTTCGGAGAGACTCAGTCTGAAAACAGTTTTGGTTTGAAAAATTTGCGTGATTTGGTCAAATGTCAAGTTACGCATTTGGCTACCTACCGTTTTCACTGCGTATACAAAAATTAAAAATTACAAAATAAATAGATCCCATCGTTTGCCCACAATCAGACAAGGATTAAAAATTCTTAATTTAGTACCAGTTTCTTACAAAAAATTTTGAAAAAAATCGATCGATACATACATTCTTAAAAATTAAATTTTATTTTTAAAATTTAAAATTTTTTTGGTAAATTAAAAAAAAATTTTTTTTTAATATTTTTATCAAAAACTACGTGTAAAAACAAAAATTTTCATATATCGAACGTCCAATTTTATCAATTTTTGTCCGAGTTATAAGCATTTAAAAAAAAAATTTATGTAAAAAACGTGATTTTTCAAAAACCCAGATCTCTTAAATTACTTCATGAAAAAATTTGAAAAAAATCATGGAAGTTCCTTTCAACCAGCACTAAAAGAAAAAAAATATTTGAAAAAAATCGGAGATGCAAAAGTCAAAAGGTGTCCGACTTGGCGTGGAATGCCCCATATATACAATACTTTAATTTTTTTTAGTTATTTTTTTTTATCAAATGATTTTAATATATTTTTATAATTGTTTATTTTAATTCTACCAATTACCGATCAATGTTACAAGTATTGTTTTAATATTTGTGTGCGGAACCCGCCATTGCAGTGCGAGTACAACTCGCACTTGTCCAATTTTTTTTTATTTTTAGTTAAGAAATTAAAGTCAGAAAACAACCTCTCATTTATTCTCTTAAAATTTAACTCTCTTCCTTAAAATATTTAATGCCACGTGTTTAAACTAAAAAAAATTAAAAAAAATTTTTTTTTTTTGAAAAAAAAAATTAAAAAAATTTTTTTTTTTATTTTTCTTCAAAAAGTTTCTTAAATAAATTTTTTGTCGTCAGACTGTAATAATACACTAGGATACCAATTTTCAGCTCATTAGGTCAAATAATGTAAAAGTTAGGGGAAAAAAATTTTTTTTTTTAAATTTTTTAGTTTTTCCTTGACAACGCTATGGCCATCATTACATATCAAGTTCTCTATATTTTTCCTGTAATATTCGAGTAAAAATACACCAGCATGCAAAATTTCAGCTCTCCATGTCGAATAGTTTAGAAGTTAAGGGGGGGGGAATGGTCACTTTTTATGCATTTTTGGCCAAAAATCTTGTTATTTCCTTGACAACGCTATGACCATCATCTCCAAACACATTCTCTATATTTTTCCTGTAATCTACGTGTGAAAATACATATCTGTACCAAATTTGAGCTCTTTAGGTCAAATAGTTTAGCCGCTAGGGGGGGGACACGATTTGGCTACGGACAACAGAGTCTCACCAATAGGGTTCCGCCGATACACCGTAGGTGTACGGAACCCTAAAAATGGACAGGCTTGAACGAGGGATGTAACACTAGCAACGTCAAGATTTTGTACAGTTATTTTGTCTAGTCCTTGTCTAGTAAAATAAATCATTCCTAGCCAGTTCCTGGATATTAAAATAAGCAGTTTCTACATACTGGGAATAATTGTTAGGTTTATAAATAATAGAACAATATTTTTCAACTTTACTCTTTTGTTTGTTTAACTTTTAAACAAACAAAACAGTAATACAAAAGTATTTGTTATTATCACAATTCCTCTTACAATTATTTTTGAAATTAATTGTAACATATTTTGCTACATTGGATTTTTTCTTTAAAACACAAACACATTCACTATAAAGATTCGTACTTGTATACCGATAATAAAATTAATTGTATATTATATTGTTGCAATCACAAAAAATTTACTTAAAATTACCAAAGTTTTATTACTTATTATGAACATTATAATATGAAAAACAATCTAGACTATTAATGATGACATCACATGTCCTTTTTCTAATAAATCTTTTTTTCGCTGTAATATATTTAAACTTCTACACTGTCCCTGTTCAAAAATGGAAAACTGAAAACTTTTCACTAGATTTATAAATTTGATTTTATCTTCACAACAAGATAAGTTACAAGTGTAGACTCTTGGTTTCTTTTCATCAAGCACTACGTCAAGAACTGATTTCGTCTGCTAGCTTAGTAGACTCTCAGAGCCACCTTCTCCACGAACTTGTACTAAATTCTTAAGTCAGCGTCCTAGACAGTGCCCAGCTAATTCTTAGACAACCTGCTATACAAACTTGTACTGAATTTTCAATTCAGTATCCTAGACAAATTTTAGCCAGATTCTAGACTGTCTTCATAGCGAAGAAAATAAAGGGGAAAACTGTACATTAACATTTCGGGGCCAGGACAGTTTATTCAGAATAATTTTCCACGACAAATGCTATCTAGCTGTAGTCTATTTCTAGGAAGGCCACGACAAATTTCTACACGGGAAAGAGCAATACCTACGATACCGACGAAGTGTACGTTCATTGTAGAAAAAAAGTAAGCGTAATATAGGGACGTTCGACTTTTTAAAAGAAAGCTGAGGTACTAGAGTAACTTTTCTAGGAGATAAACACTTAATTAAAACAAAAATGTCCGTGTAAATCAACAAAGAGTGAAAAGTTAGCCATTACGCTCCGGTCTACACTACACAAAAACCTTGATACTAATACTTTAAGAATATTTTATCTGCTTCTGCAAATAATATTTCTACTAAGAGTTAGTATAATTAAAAATAACTTCACAATTTAAATCATCAAGACCAAAAATATACATTTAAATCCACTTTATCTCGCAATCATCAGCAAACAAAAACATGTGATGAGAATGTAATCCTTAAAGTCGTAGTAACTTTAAGAAAAAAAATGTTTTACGAAACATATAATAGGAAACAAGAACAAGAACACAAATAATGCACAACAATTGCAGACCGCCGCAAGCGAAGCGAGCCATTTGCGCGCGAAGCGCGTAACAACACACGGAGCGCGAAGCGCGACGTGTGGAATAATCGCCGGAGCGCGAAGCGCGACGATCAATATTCGCGCGCCCCGAGGCGCGCTGAAACTTGCGAGCGAAGTGAGCCCCCGCGCGAAGCGCGGATGAGAATGTGTCCGCGCTTGCGCGGACAGATTTTTTAAATAATAATTGAATTCTTTTGAAAAATTTTATTAAAATAGCAGATATTGAAAATCATAGAATAGAGGAATATTTTTGAAAATAATTGTAATTTTGCCAAGAATGTTATTAAAATTTTTGAATAACTAATCATGCTAACATTTTGAAGTTTTAAGCAATGTACAGACAGACGTCTGATTTTATTAATAAGGATTTAATTAATTTTAGAAAAATTTGAATTATTAAAATTTTTCAAAAATTTAGGTTCTTTAAAATTTCTAATTAAATTCGTTCAAAATTGAAATTTTCTAAAATTTTAAATTAAAAGCTTTTGAAGTTCATCCCAACTATGTAATGTGTCCGATGAAAGGAGTATAAAAAATATTTGTCATTTTATTTTTATTGCCTATTATTACATGCATTTATACTAAACGAATAACTCTTTAAATTGTATTGTTTTTATTTTGTATTAGCGAAACCTCCTGCGACAAAAATTGAAATTCATATTCATTTAATTTTCTTATGAATTCTAAAAATTTAATTTATTCCAGTACTTTTAATAAAATACCCTGACTTTTCCCTGACCAATTGACTAATTTGCAAAAATTGTTACTTAGCGGAACTTTTTGCTTCGAAGATGTCTTTCTTCTGATTATAATTTGAAGTCTAATTTAAAAATTGAAGAAAATAAAAATTAAATTAATGTTTTTTTATAAAAAAGGAAAAAGAAACTTACGTGTTAGGTGTTTAATTTAATCAGGACGATGATCAGTGCCGAGGGGATGTATCACGTGAAATTCGCTGAGAAAGCAAATTAAAATAAAGGAAAAATAAATTGTATAAAGTAAGAAACCGTAGGAGCGCCTGGCAAGGAAACCAGTGGCAGTTAAATAAATCATAGATGCCAATAATGAACAAAAGAGAAATGCTAAACATCCAGGGGCCATATCACTGATTCGAATTTGAATTAAGTTCCCCTCGGCTCTGGCTGCAGCGATGCCATAAGTCAAGCCTAACCCCAATAAAGTATTAAACATTGGTCCACCGAAGCAGGCAGCGTAACCCATTCGAGGAAAACCTTTCTTCGCTATTGTGACGTTAGATATTAAATCTGCAAGAAGAAAAAATCAATTTCTTTATTTCAAATTCTTTTATCTTTTTTTAAAAAAAAACAAAATAAAATTTCATTTAAAATTACAAATCAAATTGCTTTTTTTCCTATAAAATTAAAATACTTCTTTTATTTCTAAATCAAAACTTAAGGTTGAAAATAAAAGTTTTATCTGTTCATTTGATATTTCTTTTATACTTTCGTCATTATGTGAAATTCGATTTTTTCTCCACTATATGGGAAAGGTAATTTCTGTTTAACAATTGCAATTGCAAATTTGCATTTTCAATAATAATAATAGTAATAATTTAAAATTTAAAATCACCTCCGATACTATTGCCCCATGCAAGAAATGTTATTCCCAACATTGCATCCGATATTCCACTAACGTATCCAATACATTGGAGAACTAACATCACCTCTCCTGCGACGAAATAAACAACGAACATCGCTGCTCCAAATCCCAGAAAAGCAAAGCCCTTTAATACATAAATGTAACATTGTAAACAGATTATTATTTCACTATTTTTAAAAAAATCACAAAACAAAAAAAATATATTAAATGTACTATTTATTTATTTATTATAAAAATTTTATTTCGAATCGATGATCGAATCATGATTCAAATATGTTTATCTTTATAAAAAACGTTTTTTCATATTTTTTCACATTTTTCTTTAAAAGCATTGAATTAATTACTTACAGGAATTAAAGAAAGAATTTATATTTTTGTTCTAAATTTTTCAAAATTTCTAAATTCAATCATTTAAAAATTCAATTATTATCTTTAAGTTTTTAATAAAACTGTTTAAAACTTCAATAATTTTGAAAAAGAAATATTACCTAATATAATTGTACTTCTACAACATTATTGAAATTTTCAAAGATTTTTAAGTGAAACCTTGTGAAATTTAATTATTTATAAAAAGTTTTACTGCAACTCTGCTAGTATTAAATTAATTTACAAAATTTTTAACTCATTTTCTTTTCTAATTCGATTATTTTTTATAATTTTCATTAGACTTTTTGAGAATTGAATTATTAACAAAAGGAACTCGACTTAAAATACAATTTAAAATTCATTGTCTCTTTGAATAGAATTTTACAAAATTTGAATTATTCAAAGATTTTTCAATTAATTTTGAAAAATTCAACTAATTAAAAAGAATGAAATTCAATTAAAATTTCTCGATAAACAGAATTGTTAAGAATTTTGAAATTTGTTTGTTTTTAAAAATTTTTGACTATACGACTTTTCTAAAAATTAGTAATTTTCCAGAATTAATTTTCAATTTTAAAATTAATGTCATGAAAATCATTGAATTTTTGCAAAGAATTTTATCAAAAAGTTTGAGGATAACTGAAACATTTCGAAGAATTTTATTATTTATGAAAATAATTGAATTCTCGTGAAGAGTTATATTAAAATTTTTAAAAATCGTAATTACGTAAATTCGTTTTAAGAATTTTTTTGAAATAATGGAGTTTTTTTAATAATTTTAATCGAAAGTAATTGACTTTTAAGAACAATTTCTTTTAAGTTTTTCAAATAATAGTGTTTCTTAATAATTTCAATGAAACATTTAACTATTGAACGAATTAAATTATTTTAGAAAATAATTAAATTCTTCTCAGAATTTTATTATAATTAATTTATAAAAATAATTAAACTGTTTTAAAGAATTTATAAAAATTTTAGAAAATAATTGGATTCTTTAGAAAAATTTAATTAAAAATTCAAAAGAAAAATTGAATTGATTTGAAGGATTTATCAAAATTTTTAAAAATAGTTTAATTTTTTGGATAAATTTTATAACGAATAAAGAAAAAAATTGGATTATTTTGTTAAATTTTATTGAAAATAATTGAATTTTTTGAAAAGATTTTACTATTTTAAAATAATAATTGAATTGATTCGAAGGATTTATTAAAATTTTCAAAAATAATTGAATTCTTTCGTGAAATTTAATTAAAATTATATTGAAACTAATTGGATTGTTATAAAGAATTTTATCACAATTGTTGAGAACAATTGAATTCTTCCGAAAAATGTTATTATTTATGAAAACAATTGAATTCTTGCGAAGAATTAGGTATATTAAAAAAACAATAATAATTAATTATGTTGTACTTAATAAGTGAATTTTTTTAACCTTAGTTATGAAATTATTCACATATTTATATTTGAAAATAAAAATATTTGTATTTTGCATACCTAATAATAATATATTAAATATCACGTTCCGCGCGTAACATTTGCTATTTTTTTATAATTTCGATTAGACATTTTGAGAATTGAATTATTCACAAAAGGAAATCGATTTAAAATACAATTTAAAATTAATTTGCTTTTAATAAAATTTTACGAAATTTCGATTATTCAAAGATTTTTCAATTAATTTTGAAAAATTCAACTAATTAAAAAGAATAAAATTCAATTGAAATTTTTGGATATACAGAATTGTTCAGAATTTTGAAATTTGATTGTTTTAAAAAATTTTTACTACAACTCTTCTAAAATTTAGTTATTTTCCAAAATTATCAATTAAAATTTTTCTCAAAATCGATTATTTTGAATAATTTTTAGAAACTTCTTCGAGAATTCAATTATTTAAATACAAAAATCTAGGCCATTTTATTACAAAGTAGTAAAAACAAACTATTAAAATTTATAAAAATTTATAAAATATTATTATTAATGAAAGAAAATTATTTGATTTCAAGAATAGATGAAATAATTTTTGAAGTAAAAAATAACTTACATTATGAAAGTATGGAATTTTGTCCGCAGAAGTCAATAAAAACACAATTATGGCAATTCCAGCAAAAATTGGCACCCCCAGTGCAATTGAAGGCACCGTATAAATCTTCGAATTCCACGCTGAAACGTTGGTAATCAGAGTTTAATTAACGCATAAAAGAAAATAATGACTAAGTAATTTTTAATAGGTAGATTCACGGTTATTCAATAATTAAATTATATAACAATTAAGAAACTTCTAAATGACATTTGACTTTATATTTAATTAATAAAAGATAATGTTAATAAAAAAATTAATTAATTCACTAATGAATGAAATTAATTAGTTCGTAATTTTGGAAAATTATTCCAACTAAAATTAATTAGTTAATAATTAACAATTAAATTAATTAAACTATTAATTAGTTATTAAAATTTGTTTAAATCAAGTCCATAAATGTCAATATTCTGTAAATAAATGAAAAAATGTGCAAAATAAAAATTTGTTTTCATTTAAATTGATAATCGATGGCTTATCTAAATGAAAACATTATTCATGAGAACAATTTAAAAAATACGATAAAATTTAAATAATATTTAAACTGACGAAAAATATTTAGCAGCCATCGATATTTTTCTATAATAAATGAATTGATCCTAATAAATTAAAATTGATAAATTTAAGGTTGTAATTTTAATAACCAATTTGAAGATTATCACCTTTAAAGAATGAAAGAACAACAATTGGCGTCAAAAATAATTGCAAACAATTTAACAATTTGGACCATCCTCTTTTTTCAGCAGTTTCATTTACCACTGGAACACATAACTGAAGAAAAAACATAAAAGGAGTACGAATTAAAAGAACAGTCTTGAGAAATGCGTTTCCAGATCTCCAGTCGTCAATGTTTATTGGCGATACGTCGAAAAGAAACTCACGAAAAAGACCCTTAGGTCGTGAGGATTTTTCTTTCTCTTCAAATACTTTTTGTTCCAATGGCTCTTGATCCAATTTATTTCTTTCCATTTCCTTTGCGATGGCAACATCTAATTTACGTAAACAGAATACAGTTATAGACATTATATATTTTATTATTATGTTAATCATACTTTGAGTAATTAGTTGAAATTAAAACATAAACAAAATTTTCCAGACTTGACTTTTAAAAGAGCTCATGAAAGGTAAAAGAAATTTTTTTTTCAAGGTGAAGAAAAACTTTCTTACGATAATTTTGCAGAATATAAACTATTATAATAGGGGAGATGAGTGGTCCTAAGTTGGCCGTGGGCCTAAGTTGGCCACCCTGCATTTCTCAGAGATGGTATACTGGACGAATCTATAATTTTGTGGTATGATATATTGATAAACCATGATATAATTTATGGACCTAATTATAATCTAAGATTCTTCTACGCATTGTGAGGACAATAATATTGTTTACGACCAAAAAAATTTAATTTTTCTTGTTTTTTCGAGAGCAGCTACAAGAGATAAATAATTAAAAATTTCTAAATGAGTGTGTGCGCTAGTTCCTTTATTCTGTCCTAAGTTGGCCACCTATTGTTTTTGTTTGTTTATATTTATGTTTTATTTCTTTTTTGTGTTTTTCATCACGAGGAAGACCGTAAAAGTGTAACGTAGGAATTAAACAAAGACAAAAAGCAAAAAAAAATGTTTAAAAAACATTAGAAAAGACATAGTACAAAAACGCCTGTCTCTACAGCCATCCACCACTGTAAATAAATGAAATAAAATATTACTTCATTTTCTAAACAAAAATAGTTAAATAATGCGTTTTTATTCTCCTAAATGTATCAAATTTGTAAAATTTCTGCGTAATTGAAAAGAATATGCATTTCTTCCTTATACACAAGCGAAAAAAAGTGGTGACCAACTTAGGACCGCTATTTCCGAAATGTCCAAAATGCAGCTTTTCACTATTTATTATATTAAGACTACAAAAGCCATTCTAAAACGTTCTAAATGCCACAAAATTATAGCAAAACGATCTCTAAACACTAATATATAATTGCCGAAGTGATTAAATTTCATTTTGTTACTATTTTCGACCAATTTGCTTAGGCGGACAACTTAGGACCATTCTCCCCTACTAAATAAATAATTAATTAAATATAACAATATAATTAATCAAATATTTTTAAAATAATTGCAATTATTTTTCCATTAATTTAATTTTAGTATTTAAAAAATATTGATAATTAAATACAACTGATGTTTTAATTGCAAAATTTAATTTTATAAAAATGATAAATATTGTCAACAGTTAGAGTAATTTCATTTCGTAGAACTTATTAAAATGAAAATTTTTTTTAATTATGTTCTGACTGTTGCTTTTGTCGAGAAGAGAAATTGCGCTTTGCTTATTTTACATGCAAAACCCCGTTATATACATATTATAACAAAAACATTGCGTACTACCGTAAGAAGGCTTTAACTCGAAAATTCACTGAAAGGCAAGTAGGATTCTCCATTATTATGAATGAAAGCCCTTTACTTAGGATTTCCTGCTTTGTTTATATGATAAAATATTGAAAATATAATATATATATAACGTGTATATACGATAAAATATGTCATTTTTGAATAAATAAACCAACCAAGTTTAGTTTGAAGATTAACTGCACGAGAACGACGATGGGGTTGATAAGTTATGTCTCTGTTCGCTAGAAACATTCTCAAAATTTCCACATCTACCATTTTTGGAAAGCGGTCTGTAAATCAAAGAGAATTATTATAAATAAATGAAAAGAGCCCCTTTTTCTCGAAAATTTACTTTTTACACCAAATTTTACTCTTCTTTTTTTTAAATTCTAATAAATAATCTTAACATTTCTTTCCTTTCAAAAATGTATTACATGATTTCTATAAATTTATATTAAAATGATGTTTTTCTTTTCAACTTTATTTACTAAACTAGCAAATGTTACGCGCGCGAAATGTGACATTCAATTTATTTATTATTATGCAAATTAAAAATTTTTTATTTTCAAATATAAATTTTTGAATAATTTCATAATCAAAATTTTAATTAAATTTCACGAAAGAATTCAATTATTTTCTAAAATTTTAATAAATCCTTCGAAATAATTCAATTATTTTTTAAATATTTAAATTTTTTTAAATCTTTGCAAGAATTTAATTACAATTTAAATTCAATTTTAATAAACTTCAATAATCAAATATTTAATTCTAATTATCGACAGACACGCATAATTTAAAAATTTGAAAAAAATTCTTAGTTTAATTCAATTGTCTTCAAAATGTTCAATTAAACTTATTCAAAAAACTACATTATTTTCAAAAAAAATGTAAAGAAATTCTTCAAAAAAATTTAATTATGTACAAAAACTCTAATAAAATTGTTTAAAAGAGTTTAATTTTTTATCAATAATTTTAATAAAATTTCAATAGTAAAATTATTAATTACAATTATTAACAGAATAGATTATTAATTCAATAAATTAAAAAAATTTTTTGAAAGATTTCAATTATTATCAAAACCTGTAATAATATCTATTCTTCGAAAGAGTTAAATTATTTTTTTATGTTTTAATAAAATTCCTTTAATGAATTAAATTATTTTCTATATTTTAATAAAATTCCTTGAATGCGTAAATTATTTTAGAAAATTGTAATAAAATTCTGAGAAGAATTTAATTATTTTCCAAAAATTTTAATACAATATTCAATAATTAAATTTTTAATTTCAATAATTAAGAAATACGATTATTTTAAAAACTTGAAAGTAATTGTTCATCAAATTCAATTACTTTCAAAATTTTCATTTAAAATTATTAAAGAAACTTTATTATTTTAAAAAGAATTCAAAGAAATTCTTAAAAAAGAATTTGATTAGAATTTTCAAAAATTTTAACAAAATTCTTCGCGAGAATTCAATTATTTTCCTAAATAATAATATTCTTTAAAGGAATTAAATTATTCTCAAATTTTTTTTATAAATTCTTTGCAAGAATTCAATGATTTTCGATATATTAATTTTAAAATTAAAAATATTTAAAAAGAAAAATTATTTAAAAAATTAGGAAACAAAAAAGCAAACAACAATTAACTTTAAGCTGCGAACAGATTACCGGAATACAATGATTATTAATATATATTTTTAGACATATTCCTTTTCTTATACGGAATATGCAAAATTTGTAACTTAGGCCGCAGTCCCATGGCAGCGTTTTGCGTTGCGTTGTAATGAGAGAGAATGCAGCAAACGTATATTTGCGTCTTTTTCTCTCCCATTACGACGCAACGCAAAACGCTGTTATGGGACTCCACCCTTAATAAAAAAATGAGTGATTTGATTTGTTTGATTTTTATGCTAAATTTTCAAAATTTGTTCAATGAACTTTTGTTGAACAGTTGTTACATAAAAAAAGCGTATATAAAGAATTCACTCAGTTAAAGAAAAAAATTGACCTCCATAAATATCGATAAATTAAGAAAGTAAATTAAAGTAAACAAGTCATTAAAAAACTAACTTTTTCTGTTTTCCTCTCTTGAATCGTAAATTTGCATTAGTACGACAGTTGTAATGAACAGAGCATAAAGCCCAATACAACCTGAAAAAAATCAAAAGAATAAAACTTTATATATAAATAAATAAATTGAAATATCTATTATTATTAATATCATTATTACTATTATCATTATTATTAAGAAACAATATAAGGTCTCTGACTTTAGCGTCGACGCTAAGCGTCAAAAAAAGTTTCTTTCTATAAAACCAAAAAAATCTCATGGAAACTCTGATCAGACGATAGAAATCTTTGAGGCATGAAAATTCTATAAAAATAATTAATTCGAATCCCCATTGTTTTCAATTTCGTTGAATTGAATTTCCCTTTAACCTTATTTTTATTTCAAAAAGAATATTTAATTAATTAACTAAAAGTCATAATTTTATTAGTAATTCTAGATGTTTTTACAGTATTTTTGATAAAATTCCCTGGTATTTCCCTAATTTTCCTTGATTTTTTCCTGAATTCCCTGACTCGTGACAACCTTGTTTAATAATAAAGTTATAAAACTTTTTGCAAAAATGACAATAATTAAAAAAGAAAATGTTTCCAACTAACTTAGAGCTTCCCATAAATGAATAATTTGATCGTTGACAAGATAGCATATCCAGGCGGTAGCTAAGATATAAAAAGTGCAATCTCTCACGAAGGACTTCCAATGCACTTGAAATGGCGAAAATGCAGCCACAGAGCCAGCAATGAGAGCAGTGACGAAAACTCCAGCTCCTATTAATTCTGTGAACATGATCATACTGTCATCTGGGCTGGAAGCCAAAGAAGTAAATATGTCAGGTGCTCCATTTCCAAAAGCTAAAATTGTCACTCCAGCAATATTATCAGAAAGTCGGAATACCGTGGAAATTACTCCCAAAGATGGACAAAAACTGAAAATAAATTAAAATATCAATTTTTATTTTTTCATTCTTTATTTAAATTTAAATAAAGAAATAATTCATTCATTTAAAACTATAAACGGGTGATTAAATTTAGCTATTATTATTATTATTATTATTATTATTTTTCACTTGTACTATAACTATTCACTTGATAATTTATTAATATTTATCAAAAAATTTGAAAATAATTGAATTCATTTCAAGAATTTTATGCACATTTTTTTCAATAATTGAATTCTTTCGAGAAACTGTAATTACTATTGTATTGAAAATAATTTTATTCTTGGCATGATTTTTATTAAAATACTTTAAAATAATTGAATTGATTTGAAAAATTGATATTAATTTTCTTGAAAATAATGGAGTTTTTTTAATAATTTTTACTGAAAATTTTGAAACTAATTAAATTTTATGAAGATTTTCTTTCAAGTCTATAAATTATCGTGTTTATTATTAATTATTGTAATTAATAATTTTCCTACTAAATTATATTAAAATTATTCATAGAAAATTAATTTCTTTTAAACAATTTTATTAGAGTTTTTGTAAATAATCACATTTTTTTGAAGAATTTCATTAAATTTCGTAAAAATATGGTAATTTTTAAAAATAATTTTTAATTGAAAATTTTAAAAATAATTGAAATTTACAAAGAATTTTATTAAAAACTTTTGAGGGCAATTGAATTGTTTAGAAAAATTTTTTTTAATTTTTAAAATTAATTGAACTTGTTAGAGAAATTTAATTAAAATTATGTTGAATTTTGAATTTTTCCGTAGAAATTTAATTGAAATTGTATTGAAAATAATTGAATTTCTCAAAAGAATTTTATTATTTACAAAAATAATTGAATTCTTGCCAAGTATTTTACAATTTATAAAAATAATAGAATTCCTTTAAAGAATTTTATTATTTATGAAAATACTTTAATCTTGCGAAGAATTTTCTTATTTATGAAAATAATTGAATTCTTGATGAGGATTTTACAATTCATAAAATAATTGAATTGTGTCGAAGAACTTTATTTGAATTTTTTGAAGGAATTTTATTTAAAATTGTGAAAATAATGTTATTTAAAAGAATTTCATCAAAATTGTATTGAAAATAATTTATTGAATTGATTTAAAAAATATTATTTATAAAAATAATGAAATTCTTGCGAAAAATTTTTTTGAAATTTTTGAATTTTGATATTTATCAAGATAATTGAATTAATTAAATATATTTAAAAAATTTAACTAATTTCAGGAGAATTTGAATTATTAAAATTAAAAAAATAAGTTGTTAAAAATTTCTAATTAAATTAATTAAAAATTGAAATTTCCTAAAATTTTAAATTGAAATCTTTTGAAGTTCATCTAATTGAAAATTGTAAGCAACAATTAAAAGCGTTAAATTAGGATTTTTTAGAAATGATTAAATTTCAAATTCTATGCCATTTGTTGATTATGGTTTAATTCGTTTTTGTTGATATTTTATAATTAAACTTTATTACACACAAACACCTGCTGCACACTAAAGTTGAGATAAAACCCTCTAACAGGGGCAATGCCCTTATCTGTAGTTTTACTTTGACTTTCGTGTACGCTGGGTTGCAGCAGAGGACTGATTTGTATGGCTATTTCAGAAGCTACATACATTCTATTGTTCAACTTTAAAAAAAAATAAAAATAAATCAAAAATTTGATAAATTATTATATTATGTATAATATAATAGTATCGAGATATTCTGTCCTCGCGTGAAGTTCAAATTATTGAAAACCTTAAATTGTCTTTTATTTTCCTATCCTTAATTATATCTTAATTATTTATTTTTGTACTTAAATACTTGAATTCTAATCGTTGAATTATGATAAGAATTGATTTAAAAATGAATTTTAGTTAAAGTTTCAGAAAATAATTAGAATAAGTGTTAAATCAGAATTTTTTATCGAAATAATTCATTTTCAAAATGTTTTTAAATTAAAATCTTTGAAATTTCAAAAATTATGAAAGTGTAAGTAATAATATTTAAATAGGTACAAAAAATTATTAATTTGTTAGTGCCCTTAAAAATTAAAACTTTTGTACATTATTCAAAAATTCTAAAAAATAATTCAACTTTGGAAGAATTGTTAAAAAATATCATGATTTAGAATAAAAAATCAAAAAAAAAATCGTTGCATTATTTTTTAAAAACGTTACGGACTTCAGGCTAATATATAATACCTAATAATAAAATATTTGTATATAATGTTTGAATAATTTTACTTACAAATTATCAGAAGTTGTTGCGAGAATTAGAAAAAGGTAAAGTAGCCAGAGTATCAGTAAAATGCAGCCCAGAATAAATAAAGGTGGATTTTCGGTGGTGAATGTGCAAAACAGTATTTGCGTATAAGAAAGTCCGTAATTAGCATCACAATCAGGAGTCTTCTTCACCCATTCGCAGCGTTCTTTTGCTGGTATTTGCCAGACGTACGAACAATCGTCCTGTAATTTACGATTTATCTTTCAATTTTTATGCATCAAAATATTTTTAACAAAAGCTAATGCATAATTTATAAGAATTAATTAAAAAGCCGAAAAAATAATAATCAATACCTAGTTTAATATAAACAGGGTTGCCACAAAAATTTTTAGTTTATTTTTCCCTGACTTTTCCCTGATTTCCAAACAACATTTTCACTTTTTCCCTGACCCCAAAGAATACTCTGATTCACTCTAAAAATTAGATACTCAAAAAAATGTTCTATTACATTTATTTACAAATTTCTTTAATTGTAAAATTATTCAAAAACATCAATAACTTCTTTTTTTAAAAGTATTTGTGACGCGATCTGAAGAAAGGGACCTTAGAAGCAAATCATTTTGAGGTTGGGTTAGAGTTACTTTTTTCTTGTTTGAAAGTTTCTTTTTACTTATTTCGAATTAAAATCAGTGTTTATTAAATATTTTAGTTTTAATGAAGACTTAAACTTCAATGATTTATATTGACAGTTGATCCTTTTTTTGTATTTTTATTTAAAAAATTGCAAACATAACCTATAATTTTTTGCTTTTAAGGTCCCTTTCTTCAGATCGCGTCACATTTAATCATTATTATTTTTCCGTAGGAATTGAAATTCTTCAAAACATTCAAATTCAAACCTTTTTGAAATTCAACAATTTATAAGAATATTATTATAAAACATGAAAAAGGCAAAAAAATTTAAATTACCATAAAATTTTTCAAAAAAGATAACTAATTATTTACAAAAATCCTTCGCCAGAATACAATTATTTTTACAAGTAGTAAAATTTCTCAAAAAAATTCAATTATTTAAAAAAAAATGTAATAAAATTCGTTGCAAGAATTCAATTATTTTCATAAATAATAAATTGATTATTCGGTAATTCATTTTTAAATCAACTTTTATTAGAAAACTCTAGAAGAATTCAATTATTTAAATTAAAAAATAATTGAATGTTTGTTAAAATTGAATTCTCATAAAGAATTTTATCAACAAATTTTTAAATAATTGAATCAAAAATAATTAAAATCCTGATATGAGTTTTATTATTTATGAAAATAATTCAAATTTTCCCAAGATTTTTATTAATATTTTTCTAAAATAATTAAATTTCGAAGAAAAATTTTATTATTTATAAAAATACTTGAAATTTTGATAAGAATTTTAAAAAAATTTTTAAACATAGGTAATTGAATTTCTGCGAAGAATTTTATTAGTTTTGAAAATAATTTAATTCTTCCAACGAATTTTATTCAAGTTTATAAAAATTACTGAATTTCTGTGCAGGATTTTATTATTTATAAAAATAATTGAATTCTTAAAAAGAACTTTGTTTAAATAATTAAATTCCTGTGAAAATTTTATTACTTATGAAAATAATTGAATTATTTCGAAGAAGTTTATTAAAAATTTTGTAAATAATTGAATTCCTGTGAAATTTTGACAAGAATTTTATTAAATTTTTTAAAAATAATAGAATTTCGTAGAAGAATTTTATTATTTATAAAGATAATTGAAAATTTGACGAGATTTATTTTTAAATTTTAGAACATAATTGAAATTTTGCGAAGAATTTCTATAACTTTTGAAAATAATTGAATTTCTGGAATCATTTGTAACCTTTTCAAAATTCAATTTTTTTATTACTTTTAACTGAAATTCTTCTATCAATCTAGTATTTATGAAAATTGTAAAAATTATTCATTAAATAATTTATAAGTCATAATTTTATGATAAGTAGTTCTTGAAAAATTAAGTTATTTGAAAATAAATTATTTGTAAGTTATAGAAAAAATTGAAGGTTTTGTATTAAAATTCGTTGTAATTTCATAGGTAGTTTACGAGACAAACAAAAAAAAACATAAAAATTCAGAGTTTTCTCATGAATTTTAAAAATTCAATTTTTTACAGCACTTTTACTAAAAATCCCTGACATTTCCCTGATAAATCTATAATTAATACTGACAACACTTGTTAGTAACTAATATTTTAATAATTAATTTGTTATTAATATTATTAAAATTAAATACCTAATTATTATTATTATTGTTGATAATAGTAAGTAATATCATCAAAAATATTTGTTTACATTTTTTTATTAATGTGATTTATTTAATTAATTAAGTATAAATTAATATTATTAATTAAAATTCAATTTACCTAAAATAACTGTTAATTAAATTATTAACGATTTCTTAATCTTTTGTAATGAATATTTAAGTTAATTATTTTTTAAAACAAAAATTATTTGCTCAATTTTTATGATTACACTCAAGTGTCAATAGTTTAAAAATAAAACGAATATGACTTATTTTCTACCTGTCTTATTGATAAACCGCCATATCTCATAAACGAGTCACCTACAATATTTTCGAAAAATGGCATTGCAAAAATATTTAATGAAAATTCTTATTCATTATCCTCTAGGTAAAATGCAAATAAATATAAGGTTAATAAAATTTTTCTTCACTGATTATTTTGAAGTTATCTCCATACAAAATTCGCCACTATCTATTAATAATCGTTATGAAGTTAGTTGTTTTCTTTCCTAATTTTTTTTAAAAATTTGTATAAATCCATTGAATTGTTTCGAGAAATTTTATTCAAATTTTAAAAATAATTAAATTCTTTCCAGGGGGCGCATGATTATTGCCCAAAATTCAATTTCATAATATTCAAAACATCGAAATTCTTATTATCGAAACGGCAATTCACATAATTTTCATATTTCTAAATACCATTCAACATAATTTTCATTTTGTCGAATAATCATTGATTCTAATTTTTAAATAATCGAATTGCTTTTTAACATAATTTTTATTCTGACTAATGTCTATTGGTTAGAAGTATTAAATGTTCGAATTATTAATTCGTCGAATCTTGGTTCTGAGCATTCGACGATTTGACAATTCGATGTTTTCAGCATTCGACGAATATACAATTCGACGTTTTAAACATTCGACGAATTGAAAATTCGATGATTTGAGCATTCGACGAATTAATAATTCGAACATTTAATACTTCTAACCAATAGACATTAGTCAGAATAAAAATTATGTTAAAAAACAATTCGATTATTTAAAAATTAGAATCAATGATTATTCGACAAAATGAAAATTATGTTGAATGGTATTTAGAAATATGAAAATTATGTGAAATGACGTTTCGATAATAAGAATTTCGATGTTTTGAATATTATGAAATTGAATTTTGGGCAATAATCATGCGCCCCCAATTGAATTTCTTCACAGAATTTTATTAAAAATTCTGATAATTGGATTCTTTGCAAAAAAAAAAATTAAAATTGATTTCAATTAAAAATAATGAAAATCTTGCCAAGAATTTCAATAAATCTTTTTTAAATAATTAAAATATTTTCAGAAATTTTATTAAAATTGTGCTGAAAATAATTAAATTCTTTCCAGAAATTTGATTCAAATTATATTGAAACTAATAATTGAATTTTTACTCAGAATTTTATTAAAAATTCTAACAATTTAATTCGTTATATAAAAAAAAATTAAAATTTTATTAAAATAATCGAAATTTTGTCAAGAATTTTAATAAAAAATTTTTAAATAATTAAAATCTTTTCAAAAATTTTATTAAAATTGTTTCGAAAGTAATTGAATTTTTTTTTGAGGAATTTAATTAAAATTATATTGATAATTGAATTTCTGGGAAGAATTTTATTAAAATTTTTGAAAACAATAAATAATAATAATGAATTAGTTAATTAAGTTGATATTTTTAAATAAAAAATGTTGTACATTGTGTAATAATTATTATAAATGGAATACTACGCTCGTAACATTTGCTAGTTTTTTTTTATTTTGTTCATATAATGAAAATAATAATTAGTAAATTGATATTTTTAATACTATTTTATTTTTAATTATTATCTTATATACTTATTTAGAGCTGAATTATTTAAAAAGCATTAAATTAATTATTTAATAAAATAAAATTAGTAATGTAAAAATATTACCAAGTTATGAAATCTATATAATTTCGTTCTTTGTGATTAATGAATTTGAATTTGTTGAGTAGACTGAAATTCTTTGCGGGACGAAATACTTTTCATATTTGCATATAATATATATTCTAGGCATAGAGAGAAGACATGAATGCAACGTTGGTGCGGGTTGAGCCTTCATCTATAGAAGCTCGAATTCAACAGGACACTCTCGTCAATGTGCTCTAGAGCAAGAGATGCCCAGCTCATTAGCGCTTCTGCTTGTGCCAGCCCTCGTGTAAAGCTTGACAGACGATCAGTAACAAGAAGGAAAGTCTGATTCGTGTTTCCGTTCCATGGAAAATTCTCCTGTAATTATTTACTGAAAATAAAAAGAGAAAAAAACCGATAAAACTTTCAGATCATCATTTCTTTATAACAAATTAATTTTTTTTTCAAAATTTGTTCATTTTTTACTATAACAGACTTCGCAATCGATAAATAATTTTCAAAAAGTAGCTTTAAGACCGAGAAAAGTAGTAAAAAAGTAGCTATCGAAGAATCAAATTTGACGACTAAGAAACTCGTTTTAATTGATTTAGAAAAATAACAAAAATTTTATTCTGCATTTTATTAACCTGATTTTTCTCTAATTTTCATCAAAAATATTAATGTTTTTTTTTCTTAAAATTAAATTCTCATTATAGAAATTTCATTAACATTTCTTAAACTTCAATTCTATCGAAGAATTTTAATAAAATTTTTAAGAATAATTACAATTCAATTCTTATATAGAATTTTATTAAAATTTATGAAAATAATTGAATTTTAGCAAAGAATTACATTACATTTTTTTAAATAATTGAATTCTCATGAAGAATTTTTTTTAAAATTTGTTTAAATAATTGATTTTGTTTCGAAAAATTTAATGAAAATAAAATTGTATTTTAAATCATTGAATTTCTGTGAAATTTTTTTTTATTATTTATGAAAATAATTAAATTCTAACGCAAATTTTATTATTTATGAATTCCCGTAAAAAATTTTATTGAAATTCATTTAAATAATTGATATTTTTCAAAAAAATGTAATGAATATTGTATTTTAAATATGTAATTAAATTATTGTAAAAATTTTATTATTTATGAAGATAATTAAATTCTATTGAGAAATTTCATTAAAATAGTAGATATTGAAAATAATTGAATTTCGAAAAAGTTTTTTAAAAATAATTTAATCGTTTCTAAGAATTTTATTAAAATTTTTGAAAATAATTAAATCTCTGCTAATGAGATTTATTATTTATGAAAGTAATATTGAATCCGTGAGAAAAATTTTATATAAAAAAAAATTTAATTTTCTTTTTTATTTTTTAATAATTTAATTTAATTTTAATTTGATAATTTTAATTTTTAATTTAATTTAATTATGTATATTAAAATTTTTTAAATAATTGAATTTCTCCAGAAAATTTATGCAAATTCTATTTTAAAAAGTTGAATTTTAATTATTTATGAAAATAATTGAATGTTTTGCGTAGAATTTTATCAATTTTTTTTAAATAATTGAATTCTTTTGGAAAATTTTATTAAAATAGTAGACTTTGAAAAATGTTTGAAAATAATTAAATTTTTTCTAGGAATGTTATTAAAATTCTTTTAAATAATTGATTTTTTTCGAAAAAATTTATGAAAATTGTATTTTGAATGATTGAATTCCTATCAAAATTTTTTTATTTATGAAAATAATTAAATTTCTGCGAAGAATTTGAAAAAATTATATTCAAAATAATTAAATTTATAAAGTATTTTATTATTTATAAAAATAATTAAATTACAGCAAAAAATTTTAATATTTATGAGAATAATTGAATTTTTATAATTTTTTTCGATGATTTTAATTAAAATTTTATAGAAGGTTATTTATAATTTTTACATAAAATTTTATTAAAATTTTTGAATATAATTGAATTTCTGCGAAGAATTGCATTACAATTTTTGGAAATAATCGAATTTTTGTTAAGAATTTTATTCAAATTCTATTAATAATTGATTTTTTTCGAAAAAATGTAATAAAAATTGTATTTTAAATAATTAAATTGCCGTAAAAATTTCATTATTTATGAAAATAATTAAATTCTATTTAAAAATCATATTAAAATAGTTTTATGAAAGTATATTGAAATAGAAAATTATTGAATTTCAAAATTTTGAAAATAATTGAATCGTTTCTAAGAGTTTTATTAAAATTTTTGGGAATAATTTGTTTATTTCAACTGTTAGCGAATTTAAAGTTGTGCAAATTCTCAAAAAAAAGAAAAAGAAAAAAGCAGCTTTCATGTCACAAATCTAAAAAAGTATCCAAATAGTAGCAAATCGTAAAAAAATGTAGTAAATAGTAGGTTTTAGCAGGTGAGTGTGAAGCCTGCTATAATATTTTTCGTAAAGTAAAATAAATATTTATATATTATATCAAAAAATGTTTTATTATAATGATAATTCTAATTATAAATTGATAAAAAAAATATTTATTGCAGTCAATACTTTTTGGTTGTAAACGAATAAAAATTGATTAGGGTAAGTGTGTCAATTGTGGCGGGTGCTCCAATTATGGCGACTTTGTAAAAAATAGAATTATTTACTATTTTAGAATAATATAGTTATTTGAAAATGATAGAAAAAGTTATTTTCGACCTTACTCGATATAATTGTACGAAAAAAAAACACATTTGAACTATTATTGGTTTAATTATTTAAGTACAAAAATTGTGCCCCGCCATAATTGGCACATTTTCATTGAATGTGCGTGCTCCAGTTATGGCGCGCAACACAACCTCTAAATACACGTTATTTTCCCCGCCGTAATTGGCGCGCCGAAATTGACTCAACCGCGCCATAATTGACGTTTTTAATCCTAATTCTTATTGCTTTAATTTTGTTTAAATAATTAATTTTTATAAAGTTTTTATAAAAGTTTTATTATCTATATGACACGGGCTTTTAGTTTAATAAGGCATAAATTTACTTCTTTCATTATAATTTTTGAATTTTCTATTTCAAAGACGGCTAAACCAGAACCGCGCCATAATTGGCACACTTACCCTATATTAAAAATATTTCCGTAGGGTAAGTGTGCCAATTATGGCGCGGTTCTGGTTTAGCCGTCTTTGAAATAGAAAATTCAAAAATTATAATGAAAGAAGTAAATTTATGTCTTATTAAACTAAAAGCCCGTGTCATATAGATAATAAAACTTTTATAAAAACTTTATAAAAATTAATTATTTAAACAAAATTAAAGCAATAAGAATTAGGATTAAAAACGTCAATTATGGCGCGGTTGAGTCAATTTCGGCGCGCCAATTACGGCGGGGAAAATAACGTGTATTTAGAGGTTGTGTTGCGCGCCATAACTGGAGCACGCACATTCAATGAAAATGTGCCAATTATGGCGGGGCACAATTTTTGTACTTAAATAATTAAACCAATAATAGTTCAAATGTGTTTTTTTTTTCGTACAATTATATCGAGTAAGGTCGAAAATAACTTTTTCTATCATTTTCAAATAACTATATTATTCTAAAATAGTAAATAATTCTATTTTTTACAAAGTCGCCATAATTGGAGCACCCGCCACAATTGACACACTTACCCTATTGAAAAACGAAAAAAAATTCACATTGTTTTTCCATAAAACGGAAACCCTTTACAAATGTTTTAATAAATATGGGGTTCCCAAACCACCCCAGTTGTCCGCAGCGTATAAAAAATCATATTTCCGTTCTAGGGTTAATTATAACATGAAAATTAATAATAAAATATTATATAATTATGAAAAAAATATTCTTTCATGTATAGTTAGAAGTTTCAAATTTAGCAATTGACAAAATATAGACAAAATGTAATGTAAACATAACCTCAATTTTGTACGACTTTAACGACTTTAACATAAAGATTTACTTATAGATAAATACCTACTATTATTTGCCTGCGTTAATTAAACATTTTCTATTCTAGCCAGCTGTATAAAATAAATAAGAGAGTGTAAGACAGTAAATAAGAAAACACGGAGTCAACAATTTGTTTGTTTTGTTTCCTTTGTTTGCGACTTTGCAAAAATGAGAAAATGAGAAAACTGAAGACAGTTCACAGTTGTGTAGTTGTAGTTATGTAGACGCAACTTGAATTCTACTTTGAATAGTACCATTTTTCACCACTGCTATTTAAAAGCTACTCTGATTGGTACAAATAGGACAAATTACCGACTTTCGATAGTTACCGGCAATTTTCAACAGAGGGCGATTGTAGTAAACGACTTTCATGAAGTAGTTACTTACCCAACCCTGCCTTTCATTAACCCCTCCAAGTTACCACTGTCACAAGTACTCTATGAAAGCAGTCATTTTATTTCTTTATTCTGATTTATTTGTGTAATGTCATTTTCAACGGGAGTGTTCATATAGTATTCGAGTGTAATAAACTTTTCGGAATTTCTATATGTATATCTTTTGTTAAAATGGTCGAAGACATTGCAGAAAAAAGTTAAAATTCAACAAGTAAAATGTTGTCATGGTTATTATTCAGAAGTACACAATGTTTTTAGGGCATAACCGGCATAACGCATAGTTATTTTGCAAACGAACTAAAATATTGATTTATTATTCATCATAAGAAAATTTTGACTACTTTTCTACTTATATTCGAGCTATCCTGCTTCTCCTGCTATTATTAAAACCGGTAAGTTTATCTTTTTGTAAATTGTTATTATATTATTATTATTATTATTATTATTATTATATAATAATAATAATAATAATAATCTGTCCTCACCTGAAGTTAGTGTTGTTTTACTCCAATTTTTTGTTTATTTATAGTTCGAATTGTTATATCTCAAAAGTTTGACAGTTAATTTGCAAAAAATAATAAAATAAGTGCAGTAAGAAAATTTAACCCAAAAATTACAAAAACTCAATAAAGAGGTAAAATTCCAATTTTTAAAAATAATTAATTATTCTATAAATTATTTATTTTTGTAGGTATTTAAATAATTGAATTCTGTTAAGAATTGATTTAAAAAAGAATTTTAGTTAAAACTTTAGAAAATAATTAAAAGTGTTAAAGTAGGATTCTTTAGAAATAATTAAATTTCAATCTTTGAAATACTAATTGCTGCAAAAGTCAAATAATATTTAAATATAAAAAATTATTAATTTGTTATAGCTTTCTTAAAAATTAAGTTTTCAATAATATTATATATTCAAAAATTCTAAACAAATAATTAAATTTTGGAAAACTTTCAGTTCAAATTTCCATAAAAAATTTTTCCAATGGTTTTTCATTAAAAGTATTTCGAAATTTTAAGCAAATAAAGAACATTAAGTTTTTAAATATTTATTTTCATCTTTAAAAATTATCTGTAAATATAATTATTGTTTTTTTTTAAAAAACATTTTATGAATTTACAAAAATTATTCTATTTAAATAATTCAATTCTCGTCGTTGAATTTTGATAGGAATTGATTTTAAAAAATAATTGAATATTTAAAGCGTTATAATGGAGATTTTAGAAATTAATTAAATTTTAAAAGATTTTTAAAATAAATTCTTTGAAAATTTAAGGTAAGCAAAAGTATAAAAATATTTAAATTTAAGTTTTAAAAAATTATTAACTTCATTATTTTTCTTTCAAAATTCTTAAAGTTTTTGAATAATTTTATTCAAAAATTCTAAAAAAGTAATTGAATTTTAGAAAAATTAAAAGTGTCATGTTTTAGAAATAACTAAATTTCATGAGTTTTTTCATTAAAATTATTTGAAATTTTAATTCCTGTGAAAAAATAAATAAGAATAAATTTTTGATTAACAAAAAGTATTGAAATTATGAATAAGAAATTCCGAAAAATTGTTTCTTGAAAAAAAAAATAATTAAAATCTTTTAAAAATAAATGTATTTCCGAAAATAATTTTTAAAAATTGAAACAATTGATAATTTTGGCAAAATTTCATTGAAATAAAAATTTAATATTTTTATGAATTTTATTTGTTTACTTTTAAAAATTATTTTGAAATATAATACTCGAGTACCACTGGAAAATTGAATTATTTAATAAAAAATATCTTACATTCAAGTTCATGTTAAAAATATCTTTGCGATTTCTATACGAGTTATTCAAATAATTAAATTTAAAGAAAAACTGTTAAGTAACAATGGCAACAATTTACAATTTATTTTTCTGTAAGTTTTTTTTTTTACTTTTTATTTAACATTACTGAATAATGATGTTTTTTAACATTTACATTATTGAAAAAGTTTTGAGAGTAATTTTTTTTTTATTTAAAAAATATCGATTTACCTTGAGCAAATATTTTGTACTCATTTGCAGTCACTAATCGTTTCTAAATCGCTGATATTTATAGGAGAATGTTCATTCTATATAAATGGAGAATTCAGTTTCTTATTATAAATGCTTCATTTTTCTCTCTAAGCGGATTTTGAATTTGATGATTTCTTAAATATAATTATTTTCTTATGGTATAAGTGAAATTAATATCACGCTAAACTGCATAGCAAGAAATATTTGATGAGAATGTAATCCTTAAAGTTAAACTTTAAGACAAGTAAATATTTTAGTGTCTTAAAAGATGTTTTTTGCCTGATTGATATGCGAAGATCTGTCTTTGGAAAACGAAATATTTTTTAGCGCAGTATAAATATTTCATCTTAATCTAAAATAAAGTTCTTACTTTTGAAAACTGTTGCTTTTTGTGAACTTTTATACTATAATTCAGTCTATTACTGAATAAATGAATTAAATAATATAAAATTTCTCATTCTTTCTTTTTCAAAAATATCAGAGGAAAGAAGTATGATAAAAAATTTATTTACGATTCAACATACAAAATAGTGACTAGATCAGGCGATAAGTTTTTGTAATGATAATAAATCTTGTTCATTGGGCTCTTCCTTGATTCTATAGCCACTAGTGAGAGCAAAATGTCTATGTAGAGCTGCGAATCCAAGACTTGGATCTGTTTCCTCTTCCATCATCGAATTTGATCCCATTTCATTGGTTTGATTTTTGCTCACCTGTAATTTTGTGAAAAACTTTATTTCTCTTCATATTCTTTTATTTCACTTAGTAAAAAGTAAAAATTTATATTTTCCTTTTAAACTTCGTTTATATAGAGAAAAGAATTATATTTTTATGAAAAAAGAAATAAAATTAAAAATACCTCGAAACGTTGTGATTTGTACATGGCGAGTTTTCGCGTTCCCGGCGAGCTCTGAATGAGATTTTGAATTGTCGGATGTGAAATTCCAAAGAAATCAGCGCCTTTCGGTGGAATTGCGCACAATGCGGAAGAAATTGCTGATAATAATAAAGAATGACATTCGTCTGGACTTGAGCCAACTAACGGTTGATCGAGATCATTGTCAGCAACTATTTCAAATCTAGGGGAAAAAAGAAGAACAATTTTCTTTAATAATTCACATAGAAATTGATGTATTTTTCTTGAAAGAAATATCTTTACCTTGGTTTTGGACCACCGTCTAAAATTTTACAAGTATATAAACTCTTGATTCGTGCATCTCTCAAACTGGCATAAGCTCGAGTGCTGCAATAACCAACTGGATAAATAAGATCTTCCGTATGATAAGTTAATCGATCGGAAATAACTTCGCCTAAAGAGTATACGGTGAGATCTCCCAAACTTATTGGAAATATAGGTCGTCCATGGACGTCCAATGGAATTATTTGAACGACCTTTCTTGTTGCTTTACTAGTGCGTTTCGGTTTTGGTTTCGATTCTAAAAGAACGAATGATATCCAAATATTACTAAAAAGCTTTTTTCTTAAAGTATCTGTTTATTCAATTTCTTACTTTAAGTTTGATAAAAATTAAATATAAATTAAAATTCACTATCTATTGTTTGCTTTTTTGTTTCCTTATTTTTTTTTAATAATTTTTCTTTTTAAATATTTTCAATTTTAAATAAATTAGATAAAATTATATACATTATATATAAATATAAATAATAAAATCCTCCATGGAAATTCAAATAATTTCGTAAATAACAACTATCCTCGCAGGAATTCAATTATTTTAATAAATAAAATTCTTTTCAAGAAATCAATTATTTTAAATACAGTTTTAACAAACTGTATTTTCAAGAATTCAACAATTTTCATAAATATTAAAATTCTTCACAGGGATTTCGTTATTTTTAATGTTATTTTTTTTAAATTCCTTATAAGAATTTAACTATTTACATAAATATTAGAATTCTTTGCAAAAATTCAATTATTTTCAATAAAAATTTAGTAAAATTCTTTGAAAGATTAAAATTATTTTCAAAAATAAAAAAAATTTTATATTTTCAGGAATTTTATTTTTTTTACTTTTAAACAATTAAATAGTCTTAATGCTACTTTTTTAAAAAATTAATTAACGAGTGCGAATTCTGGTTTCAACTAGCATTCATAGACTTGAAAAACAAACCTATTTTTGGTAAATAAATTAAAATTTTCGCTTGACATAATTTTTATTTAATTCTTTTTATTAGAAGAAATATTTAAAGAGTTCGAATTAATTTTTCATACAAATACCTATATTTATTTATTATTAAAATTTAAATTAATTTAATATAAATAATAGATAATCAGATGTATTATAATATCTTTATTTATCTTTTAAAGAAATAAAATAAAAATATTTAAAAAAAAAATAAAAATGATTATTAGTGTAAAGACGAAAACAACTGTATAAACAGCTTTATTACAAAAGTATAATAGACATTAAATTATTAACGGCAATAATATAAGTATATAAAATATAACAATTGACGTTTCAGTAACCAAAACCTCGTGTTTTCAAATTTTTTTATATTTTAATTATTTATTTAGATACGTCATGTTTTTTAAATTTAAAGAATTAGCAATTTTCATATAGAAAAAAATAAAATATAAATGTATTTTATTCTTTTAAAATAAAAACTTAATTTACATTTTTTTAAACTGCATACATTTATCTTGACAACTATTATCACTAGTAAATATTAATTATCGAAAAAAGAAACAACAATTCATTTTTTTTATAATTTCTTTTAATTTTTAAAAATCTTTGATATTAATAATTGTTGTATTCCGGTAATCTGTTCGCAGTTTGAAGTTAGTTCTTATTTGCTTTTTTGTTTCCTAACTTTTTAATAATATTTCTTTTTAAATATTTACATATTTTCAATTTAAAAATTAATGTATTGAAAATTATCGAATTGTTGCAAAGAATTTTATCAAACAATTTGATAATAATAGAATTCCTTCGATGAATTTTATTATTTAGGGAAAATAATTGAATTCTAATTCTCGCAAAGAATTTTCTTAAAATTTTCGAAAATTCTTTTTGAAGAATTTCTTTGAATTTTATTTTAAATAATGGAGTTTCTTTAATAATTTTAATTGAAAATTTTGAAATTAATTTAATTTTATGAACAATTTCTTTCAAGTTTTTAAAATAATAATCGTGTTTCTTAATTATTGAAACTAAAAATTTAATTATTGAATTTTATTAAAATTTTTAGAAAATAATTAAATTATTCTCAGAATTTTATTACAATTTTCTAAAACAATTTAGTCATACAAGGAATTTTATTAAAATTTAGAAAATAATTTAATTCATTCAACACTGACAAAGAAAATTGGACAGAATGTGCTTTTTACTCAGGCAATTTTTGCCTTAGGCAAAAATTGCCTGAGTAAAACGCACATTCTGGATATTATTTTTTTCAGCCAAGGAATTATTTAAAACATAAAAAATAAATTAATTCTTTCGAAGAATTATTACAGGTTTTGATAATAATTGAATTATTTCAAAAAATTTCTTTAATTTATAGAATATAATTGATTTTGTTACCTAATAATTGTAACAATTTTACTATTAAAATTTTATTAAAATTATTGATAGAAAATTAAACTCTTTTAAACAATTTTATTAGAGTTTTTGTAAATAATTAAATTCTTTTGAAGAATTTCTGTAAATTTCTTTGAAAATAATGTAGTTTTTTGAATAATTTTAATTGAACATTTTAAAAATAATTGATTTAACAAAGAATGTTTTTTTAACTTATTAAAATAATCGTGTCTGTCAATAATTATAATTAAATATTTGATTATTGAAGTTTATTAAAATTGTATTGAAAATAATTGAATTGTATTCTTGTCAAAAATTTTATTATTTTAAAAAGTAAAACAAAAATCCTGGGAAGAATTTTATTAAGATGTTTGAAAAATAATTTAATTCTTTCTTTTATTAAATTTTTATTGAAAATAATTATTGGGTCACTCCACTGACTTTCGTCTGGGGGTTGTTGCGGCTATATTTTGAAAAAATCTGGTTTCAAAATATGTAAAACTAGAAGACTTCCTGATTCCATTAACCACAATATTATTCCGAAAATTTTATTTTTTAAATTTTATTATTAATCAAAAGTTGGCCTCTCAGAGTGTTATTTTGTAACCTTAAATTTTGCACTTTTTTAAAATCGTTTTTATTCAATAATTATTTTATGTCATATAACAGAACTTACCAAAAGCATAAATTATTTGATGGTGAATCAGGAATCGAAGCAATTACTATGAAAATATATTATTTTTAATTAATAAAGCGAAATCGAAAATTTTTTTCACAAAAAAATTTTTCGATTTTCTGAAGACTATAACTTTTTTCTCAGCAATGCTCCTAAAATTTCAATTTTCTCCGTGTAGCTTGAAAGTAATATAATTTACTCAATACTAAAATTTGACGTATGTGTTTTGCTTCGTTTTTGAAAAATTAATTTTTTAATTTTTTTTCTTAAAAAGGTTAATTTCATACAATTCTCATCGAATTTCAACGTGTAAATAGAGTGATGTGAAATTGGTCGGTTAACTTCAAGTCCTAAAATTAACTTTTTTAAGGGAATAATTTAAAAAATTAATTTTTCAAAAAGGAAGCAAAACACATACGTCAAATTTAAGTATTGAGTAAATTATATTACTTTCAAGCTACACGGAGAAAATTGAAATTTTAGGAGCATTGCTGAGAAAAAAGTTATAGTCTTCAGAAAATCGAAAAATTTTTTTGTGAAAAAAATTTTCGATTTCGCTGTATTAATTAAAAATAATATAAGTAATTGCTTCGATTCCTGATTCACCATCAAATGATTTATGCTTTTGGTAAGTTCTGTTATATGACATAAAATAATTATTGAATAAAAACGATTTTAAAAAAGTGCAAAATTTAAGGTTACAAAATAACACTCTGAGAGGCCAACTTTTGATTAATAATAAAATTTAAAAAAATAAAATTTTCGGAATAATATTGTGGTTAATGGAATCAGGAAGTCTTCTAGTTTTACATATTTTGAAACCAGATTTTTTCAAAATATAGCCGCAACAACCCCCAGACGAAAGTCAATGGAATGACCCTATTATATTCCTGCGAATAATTTTGTTATTTATGAATATAATTGAGTTTCTGTGAATGATTTTATTATTTAAAAATAATAATTAAAATCTTGAGGAGAGAATTTTATATATATATTGAAAAAGCAAAAAAAAAGATTAATTTTGATATTTTACCTGAGACATCAGTTGAATTTCTTTTTTTAGAATTCTTTTTTGGAGTTACACCGTCAATATTCACAGCCGATGAATTAAAATTACTTTGTTTCGATAAAACTGAATTCGCATCAACTTCACCCTGTTGTTGACACAATTTTCTTAACAAAAATAATCTTTCATCTTTGACAAGTATTAGATTTTCCTGCATTTGCGCGACTTGATCGCATAACGCTGCATTTTCCTTAAAACAAAATTTAAGAAAAATAATTTTATTTTTACTTTTTTCTCTATTCGAATATCAAAATTAATTTACATTAGCTTTCTATAGGTATTTAGAAATATTAATTTTATATTAACTTTTATACTAAATTTTTCAAATTTCGAATGTTTCAAAAAAACGTTGATTACCTACTTACTAAATAAAAAACAAAGAAGAGAACAAAATTCGACTGGAAATTATTTTCGGTTAATAATTACAAAAATAAAACTAAAAAAAACTAAAAATTGTAAATTTAATTTGAAGATTACTTACAAAAACTGTGTCTTTTACAATTCTTTTTAATCTTTTGTACTTCTTCTTGTATTTCAAGTTTTGTTGTAATTCTGCATTTTTATGATAATCGTTGTAATAAGTTTCATATGCATTTGACATATTTACAATATATTGTTAAATTGTTTAAATAAATTATATATTGATATTATGATCCTATATTTTTGACGTTTTCAATTGTTTTTTAAGGTTATGAATGTATGTTTTCTCTGACCAGGGCTGGGCAGGGATGAGTGCGTATAATACATGATGTATAAAGGCCAACGCAGAATAGATCTGTAACCGGAACCGCAATCGTAACCGTAAGAATGAGTTAAAGAAGGATAGGTATATTGTTTATCCTTCTCTAACTCATTCTTACGCTTAGGCTGCGGTTACACCTCTGCAGGCAGCCTGCCTGCCTGCAGGTTGTCATGGTAACGTACAAGAGTAAGAGAGTCAGTGACTTCAAACTTCTCCCTTACTCTCGTTGCTTCTGCCTGCGCAGGCAGGCAGCCTGCAGTATACATGTATAATACTACGTTTATTACGTCCTAGGTTTTCTACATTATGTATATTACATGTGATGACGTAATTCGGTAACTGAAAGATAGTATTTTGAAATTTCTTAAGGTGCTTCTATACCTCCGGTGGATTGGTCAAGCAATCGGCTCGATGAATTTTCACGGTCGGAAAATGTACTTTCATGGCGGGTATTTTTGAATAAGTAAATGTTGAAAAGGTTTTTACTTGAAAATTTATTTAAAAAAATGATTTTATCATAGAAATTCTTTTGAAATTTATGTTAAAAAACATGTTTTATTTTAAAAGTTATCAAATTTTAATTCAAAATGTTTTAATTTTCCAAAGAAGTGTAAAAAGCCTAATGTTTTTGAAATGCTAGTACAGACGGTACAGACTGTTTGTTATGAATGTACATAACCTAGCGTTGTGTTGTCGTGCTTGTGATATTATATTCTAAATTTAATGATTTTATTATTATTATATTAAATAATAATGAACAGACAACACAACGCTAGGTTATGTACATTCATAACAAACAGTCTGTACCGTCTGTACTAGCATTTCAAAAACATTAGGCTTTTTACACTTCTTTGGAAAATTAAAACATTTTGAATTAAAATTTGATAACTTTTAAAATAAAACATTTTTTTTAACATAAATTTCAAAAGAATTTCTATGATAAAATCATTTTTTTAAATAAATTTTCAAGTAAAAACCTTTTCAACATGTACTTATTCAAAAATACCCGCCATGAAAGTACATTTTCCGACCGTGAAAATTCATCGAGCCGATTGCTTGACCAATCCACCGGAGGTATAAAAGCACCTTTAGTTTTTAAATTAACAAAATTTTTATCTTTTTTTTAATAGTAAAACAAAATGTTTATTAATTAAAATTTTACATATTTAATTTCTTTTATTTGTGCAAAACTTTTTTTATCAAATAAAAATTTGTTTTAAATTTAAATATAGGAATAATGGGAATATGAATAATAAAGATAATAAATAACAAACATTTGAGGTTATGGTAAAGAGGGTAACATGTCAAAATGTCTGCTATCATGATTATGTATTTCACCTAGTTTTATACGTATAATACGTCGAAAATGTATTATACGTATAAAACATCGAGTGACGCGTCAAAACCCATCCCTGGACACTTTCCGAGAAAAATTAAATAGTTTTTTAGTAAAAAAATGAGTAAAATCATCTGGAAATGATTAAATATTCAAGATTCAACTTAGTTATAAATATTTAAATGATATAAATACATGCTGTGTAAAAAAATTATCGACGTAAGCAAGTTTTAAATTTATAGGTTATGTTACTCAAGGTTTTCATCGGTCGCATCGCTCTTATCAGTGAACTGTCAAACCTGTCAAACTTTGTTTCTTGAGTGACAAAAATACAGCTCTTCTCAATCAGAAGAAACAAATAATTATCGTGCAGTACAATAGAAAATTTTCCATGTATTAATAAATTTTTGAAAAAAATGAGTGATCAAGGGAATAATTTAGATGATCCCGACGCTGAGGTGTCTATTGAAACTGTTGATAATGCAAGTTTAGGTCGTTATTTTAATAACACAACACACACTATTTTTGATGAATTAGTCTCGTCAGAAAAACCTGATGCATTTGCAACAGTTAAAAATCCAGTATTTGAAATTCCCACAACGTCGCCAAGTGGATTTTTTGATAATGAAACAGAATCATTGAATGAACCTTCACTAGCAAATGATTTACAAAGAGATGTCTGGATTGCTTCAGAAAGTACAACAAAAATTCTTCGAACTATTGCTACATCAACTAATGGAACAAATTCTATTAACAGGTAAAATTTAGACAATACATATATACGCATTACACATTATAATAATCGTAAGTTTCCTTTTCGTTAGCAAATTATCTGCATTCATTTGTTTGTTTTGAAAATTAATTTTGTGGGTTATTTTAATTTTTTTTTCAATGTCAAAAAAAAACTCGTTTTATTCACTTCACAAAATTGAAAAAAATTCCATTCCATATTTTTTATTTTCCTGACTTTTTCCTAATTTTCATCAAAAATATTTACTTTTTTCTCACCCTTTCAATAAATTGAATTCCTGCAACGAATTTTATTATTCATCAAAGAATTTTAATATTTATAAAAATTGAATTGAATTCTTACGAAAATTTTTACAAACCATTTTTTAAATAATTGAATTCTGTTTGGAAATTTTATGATAATAGTAGATATTGAAAATCATTGAATTGCGAAAAGTTTTTAATGATAATTAAATTTTACAAAGAATTATATTAAAAAATTTGTCAATAATTGAATGTTTGGAAATTTTATTAAACTTTTTTGAAAATAATTGAATTCTTGTGAACGATTTATTAGAATTTTTTTAAAATAATGTAATTCCAAGAAGAAAATTATTATTTTTAAAAATAATTGAATTATTGTGATGAATATTCTTATTTATGAAAATAATTGAATTCTGAAAAGAATTTTATTAAAATACCTCAAAATAATTGAATTTTCGGGAGTAATGTTCTTATTTATCGACATAATTGAATTCTTAGAAAAAATATTGTTAAAATTGTTAAGAATAATTGAATTATTTAATTAAAATTGTATTTAAAACAATTAATTTCTTTCGAATAATTTTATTAAATTTTTGAAAATAATTATTCAATCCTTCCAAAAAATATTAAAAAAACATTTTTTTAAATAATTGATTTTTTCGTGGAATTGAAATTAAGTTTTTAAAAATAATTACTGTAAAATTGTATTAAAAATAATTGAAATCCTGCTATGAATTTTATTATTTATGAAAATAATTGAATAGTTGCTAAGAATTTTATTATAATTCTTAAAAATAATTGAATTTCATAGAAGAATTTTATTATTTTTGAAAATAATTTAATTATTGCGGAAAAGTTTATTAAAATGTTTAAAAAGAATTGAAGTTCTGTAAAAAAAATTTATTATTTTTTAAAGTAATTGAATTTTTCATAAGAATTTTATGAACATTGTTTTAAATAATTAATTTTTTCGAAATATAATAAATATTATGAAAATTTTATTAGTTTAAATAATTGAATTCTAGTGGAAAACTTTATTTGTGAAAATAACTGAATTTTTCGATTATTATTAATTTAAAATAGTATTAAAAATAATTGAAATCATTCGATAAGTTTTATTATTTATGAAAATAATTAGATTCATGTTTAGAATTTAATCAAAAATTTTATTATTAGTGAAAATTAATTATTTAATTATTACTTAAATTAAAATTACTTGAAATTGTTTACAATAAACAGTGTAATATAACATTTCCGCGCGCTTGCGCGCGGATAATTTGGCTAGTTTTAAATAAAGTAAATTGTTAATTTCCTCAAGTTAAAATTTCGTTCATTTGAACGTTCGAAAGTTTGGGAAAATAATTCTAAAAATTTGTATTTTTTTAAGTATTGTAATGTGAATTTTCGAAAGTAATTGAATTTCCAAAAAGAATTCATAAGCAGCTTAATAAACTAATTAATTTTTTGAAGAATTTTAATTAATTTAAAAAAAAATTCGTTTCTCCCTATTAATTATTAAAAGTTGGATGTTTTGAAAAAATCTAATGTAATTTTTTTTAGATATTTAAAATTTTGGAAATATCTAATTAATGTTGAATTACTTGAATTATTTTTCTAAAAAATATTTTAATATAATTTTGTGAAGAAGATATTTTACTGATTTTCATTAAAATTTTTGAGAATTCAATTAATTTCAAAATTTTAATAAAATAGGTACCCTTAAAACAAGTTGTTCATTTCATGACCATTTAGCTTCCTCAATGTATAAAAATTGCGGTTTTGCAAACTTTTGAAAAACTATGTACAAAAGGGTTCGTCCAGAAGATTTGTTAAAAATAAAATTATATAAATCATTTATAATTTATAAGTTGTTATATAAATATTTGGTGAAATTTACACTTTCATTTGCCAATTGCTTCTTTTTTATGATAGAATAATCATTTCAAAATAATAATATTAATATTAAATAAATTATGAAAAAAATACAAAATTTGAATTTTTTTTTAAAAAGAAAAATATTTATTAATTTGATAAATTTTGATAAAATATATAGATACTTGGCATACATCAATCGATTCGTTTTCTTGTCAGGAATGTAATTTTGAGAAAAATTAATGAAAATATTAACAAATAAAAAAATTATTTCAAAAAATACAAAAAAAAATTTTTTCTGAATTTTAAAAAAATTGTATAAAAAAAATTTTTGTAGATATTTTCGAAAATCCTTGTGTCAGATTTTAGGTATTAATGACTGCAATAAACCTGCAAAATTTCAGGACAATCCATCAAAATTTGTCTGAGATAATTTGTACACAATTTTTGTGACATACACACACACACACACACATACATCTGGACATTTGCTCATAATTGAATATACATATGTTTTAGATGAAAATGAGTCCATATAACCTTCTTTTGAAAAATTGAAAATCGTCACCAATGCAAAGCTTCCTCATGAGGAAGCAAAATCAATTATTTTGAAAAATTTTTACAAAATTTTATGTAATTATTTAAAAACATTTTAAAATCTTAAGAAAATTATTCAAAATTAAGTTTTGAAAGATTTGACTATACTTATATTTGTCATTTAAATTAAAAAATTATTATTGCTTCCTTATAGAGGAAGGATTGTATTAGCAAAATTTTCGATTGTGATTTTTTGACATATTTATAAATTTTTTTTCATTATACCTAATCTTTTAGTACTTTATGTACGAATGGGCACTGCCCGTATAAATGTTCTAAATAAATAAAAAAAATTTCGACGTATTTTGACCTCCGAAGTCCAAAAAACGGATTTTAAAAATTTGTTTCGATGTGTGTGTACTAACATTACATTTACCTCAATATCTCAGAACGAGAAAGAGCTAAAGGCCTCAATTTTTTTTAAATTGTAGGTCTCCCCGGGGGACATAAAATGAGGGGCTGGATCTTAAAACAACACATAACATTTTAACAGTGGTATTTATAACAGTTTTTTTTTCAAAAACTGTTATAAATACAACAAAATCACGAGAAGAAAAAAGATGCGCAAGGAAATTTCCTATAAGATAGTGAAAAACTTTATTTAAAAAAATTATTTTTCGAGGTGTCAGGGGTTAACGAATACCGCTGTAGAAATTTTATGTGTTGTTTTAAGATCCAGCCCCTCAAATGAGAGTATTTTCAGCCCGATTCATAAAGTTTAACTATTTTCTTTTTTTGCATTTTTCATTTTGTAAAAAAACGTTTTTTGGCCATAACTTAAAAAAAATGTTAGGGCACCTATAAATGTTTTTCTTTAGTTTTGTAGAGTTTTTTGAGACGCATCTTTTGAGCCTTCATTGAACATTTTTCGTCTATATTAACCAGAGATATTAAAGTTTTAAAAATCTAAATTTTTCGAAAATAACACTTTTTTGAAAATTTTGTTGAAAAATATAAAAGAAACTTTCAAACTTTCATTACCAACTTGTAGAGCATTAAAAAAGGCTTCGATTGACCTAATATTGAACCTGATTCGGTCAAAAATTATCAAATTATTGGTATTTGAAAAATCAAAAATTGTGGAAAATATAATTTTGTCAACATTCTTGTTTATTAACTTATGTGTAATTATTAAACTATTATAACCATCTTATAGAATATATAAAAACATATTTTTTGGACCAAGATTTAATGATTTTTAACTTTTTTATAAAAATTAATTCTTATATTTCAATTATTATTATTTCTATGAGGAAGCAAAGTGTTCATGAAATGAACATTAAAATTATAAAAATGTACAACTTGGCAGCGGTTTTTTCATTAATTTTTAATTAAAATGATTTAAAATTCAAATTTTCTAAAATTTCTATTTGAAATCTTTTAAAATTCAATTTTTTTTTTATTTTTAAGTAAAATTTATCGCTAATTAATAAAAATTTAGTGAATATTTTAAGTTATAAAGTTATTATAATAATCGTAAGTTTCCTTTCCGTTAGCAAATTAGCTGCATTCATTTGTTTGTTTTGAAAATTAATTTTTGTGGGTTAAGTATTGGCATTTTTTATATTTTTAAATGTCAAATTTTGCAATGTGTTTTGATGTGTTTCAATCGTTTCAACGGTTATGTTCTATATTATCATGTGTTTAATTCAATTTTTAACTCTTCAACTATCGCATTCATTCTAAAGGTAAATACTTTTTTATAATTTAATTTAATGTACATAATTTAATGTTGACATTATTTCAATATTATTGAAAAAAGTTATTTGATTACAAATAATTATTTGAATATTATTAAAGACTATATAAATTTAAATTATCAAAGTCTATTTTACAAAATAGTAATTTAATACAATTTTTATTTCTTATAATTTTTATTACATTAAAATATTGTTTAATATGATGTTTATTTCATAAACTTTTAACATTTTTTTGTTTTATGTTTTAAATTAATACGTGATTCATAGAATATTCCGAGGAATATTCAACTAATTAATGAAAATATGTTGAAAATTTTTTCAATTTAAAATATATTACATCAAATATCTTTTCTCTATATTTATTTAAATAATGTTAACATTAAATTATGGACACATACCTGACGAGTAAATGATAATTATAAAGTTAAAAATTCAATTAAACAACCAATGTATAGAAATAAAATTTTGGGGCTATCGTACGCCTAAAATTTACCTGACATTTTTTTTCTTTATTTCTAAAAACGCATTTATAATTTTTTTTAATTTGATGCTTTATTATATTATATTACATCTTGTAATTAAATAATTAATCCAAGTTATATTTAGTATTTTTAATTTTTTACTACAGATTTTTTGTTTTCCCAAGAAATTAGAATTAAAAGTTGTTTAACTTTATCATTTTTAATTAATTTAATTTTTTGCAGTTATGATACGGAATTCTTTGTTTAAAAAGCTAAATGAATAATTTTTTTAATTTTTAGAATAATTAAAATTTTCGTAATCAAAATTATTTTTTTAATTTTAAAATTGTTTTGAAAATAAAAGTATAAAATATGTAACAATTTTTGCAATATTTAATTTTCTTCGTACAACAAGAAAGTTTAACAGCAGTAACAGCATTTTAACAAAAATTTATCGGATTCACTTGTAATTCGTTTCTAATGCGTTAAATTTGACATTAAATTTTAGAAATTCAAAATTAATAAAACTTTCTTTTGTCTGACTTTCTTCTAATTTATCGAATTCAGTGATTTCTGGGGTGAATTTGGTTAAGTTTTAAAATGATTAATTTCTATTTGAATTCGTTATTTTAAATTTAGAAAATCTGATATGTTAATTTAATTCATTTTTCGTTATGCACGGCAAAAAATATTTAGCTGGATATACATATTTCACTTTAGTAGCGAAATTTTGCAGTGCTTTGATTAATACTTTCGCTATTCTAGAGAAACTAATCGCTATTTCAAGTAAAACTTTTTTCAGTGTGTAATAATTATTATTTCTTTTAAAAGTATTTAAATTAAGATAAAATTCGCTCAAAAAATAATTTTTCACCTCCTGCTGAATACTGACGGTGGCTATTTTTTATTAATTGTAAATTAAATTAATTTTTATGACCCAGATATTAATTGGAATTGTTCTAGCTATAGTTTAGGTCTAGTAATGTAAATTCTATTTAAATTGAGACCATTGAGTGAAATTATTTGAATTTAAGTTAGTTAAATATTTTTCTTACGTAATAATAATTATTTTTCTTTAAAATTTAAATGGTTTAAAATAAGCATTTCCATACAACATTCCCGCGCGCTTGCGCGCGGATAGTTTGGCTAGTAATTAAATATTAGAAGAATTATTGTAGAAAATTTGAATTTTGAATAAGTTTAATTCAAAAATCTAAAGAACTTTCTTTATCAAATTAAAAAAATTCATAAGTAGTTACAATTTATGAGAAGTGATAAATTATTTTATCACTTATTTAATTGTATTTAAAAAAAATTGCAGTTCTAATTTTAATTAAATTTCAAAAGCAGGTTTTACCTACATTTAAAATATTTTGAAATTTTAATTCCCGGTCGATAAGTAAATAGCAATAAGTATTCAAATATTTTATTAAACAAAAATGAATGAAATTTGAAACATTTTATTTAAAAATTGTGAAAAAAGAAATTTTTAAAAAATTGTAATTTAAATTTGTTGAAAATAGTTTTATTCTAAAAAATAATTCTTAAAAATTGAAAAAATAGGAAAATTAAAATTTCATTAAAATAAATTTTATATTTCAAAGAATTTTATTTTCTTAAATTTAAACAATTATTTTTAAATATTATTGTATTTTTTGAAGAAATGTAACTCAATATTTCGAAAATAATTGAATATCAGAAGTGCTATAACAGTAATTTTAAGAAATAATTATATTTTAAAAGATTTTCTAAATGAAATTTTTTAGAATTTTAATCGCCGTATAAGTATAAAAATATTTAAATGTTTATTTTAACAAATTATTAATATTTTATTTGGCTTTAAAAATTATTAAAGTTTTGAATATAGTTTTTTAAAAGATTCTAAAAAGATAATTGACTTTTAGAAAAATTGCATTTTTAATTTTTAGAAATAATTAAATTTCAAATGTTTTTACATTGGAATTTTTTGAAATTTTAATAATTTCCTATATTTCTTAATGCATCATAATTAAAAAAAATTTATTTTAATAATAATTAAAAACAAGATACAGCCTATTTAAGAATAGTAACGCACGGACGTTTTTCATGGAAATGACCATTTGTTTAACAAAAATTATTGAAGTTTGGAACAATTTAATTTAGAGAAATTTAATTAGTCTTTTGAGAAATTGTAATTAAGCATTTTTTTTTAAATATAATTGAATTCCCGAAAATAATTTTAAAAATTTTCATAGAAAATTAAATTCTTCAAAACAATTTTATTAGAGTTTTTGTTAATAATTACATTTTTTTAAAGAATTTCATTAAATTTCGTAAAAATAATATAATTTTTTGAAATAACTTTAATTGAAAATTTTGAAAATAATTTAAATTTACAAAGAATTTTATTAAAAACTTTTGATAGCAATTGAATTGCTTAGAAAAATTTTATTACAATTTTGAAAACTAATTGAATTCTTGCGGAGGATTTTACAATTCATAAAAATAATATAATTGTTTCGAAGAATTTTATCTGAATGTTTGAAAAAATAATTGAATTTTTTGAAGGAATTTTAATAATAATTTTGAAAATGATGTTTTTAAAAGACTTTTATCAAAGTTGTCAAATATAATTGAATTTATATTGAAATTCATGAAAATAATTGAATTTAATTAATATATTTTTAGAAATAATTGAATTCTTCGAGAAATTTTATTAAAATTGTATTGAAAATAATTGAATTGCTCTAAAAAATATTATTATTTATGAGAATAATGAAATTCTTGCGAAAAATGTTATTAAAATTTTGGAATAATAATAAACTAGAATTTTTCTTATTATGTACTTAATAAGTGAAATCATTAAATTTTGAATTTGTAATCATTCAAATATTGATGTTTATTCTTGATTTCTAAGAGATATTTCAATTATTATTTGTTTTTAAATAATAAGTTTACTTCTTCAGTAAAAATGTTAATTTCTTAATTTTCAACAGGGAATTATTGACAATGCCAGGACTAGCAATGCAGGACGATATGATTGACCCGACGAAAGGTGCAGTTTTGCATATTTTAGGTGAGGACGAATTTTCCAGTAGAAATGTATTAACAGCATCCGATGTAACGCAAGACGAACGTGGCTTGAGAAATTTAATTCAAGCCGGTTGTTATCGAGCGGCAATAAATCTCACCGGCCGTTTACTCGCCGTCTATGGTCAAGGATTTGGTAAAATAAATCTTCCCAGTAAACATACGCCGCATTCTCTTCAACTATGGTTCACACGACTCTCACTATTAACCAAATTACGACAAATCGAAATTCTCGAGACTGAATCACGACCCTTTGGAAATCTCGATAAACCCGATATGTATTTTATTTATTATCCTGAACTTTATGGCACTCGACCCGGCTCAATGGCATCATTCTCCTTTCGTCTATTACTAGCTGAAATACCCACCTATTTGGGAAAATCGAAACAAGCAATAGACAATCTTTATCAAATTCTAGCAATTATTAAGAAAATAGTGAAGAACTTAGCAGCCGGTCTCAGTGGCGATGGGAGTCAAATAAAAAATGAAACAAATAAACAGGAGGATGTTTTACGCTTATGGAATGGACGGAAATGTCGAACTTTAATTTCAATTATTAATTGCGCAATGGGAATGAAAAATTATATATTGGCGAGTGAGATTTTAGAAAATTTGTACAGTTCAATGGAATGGAAGAAAGCGGAAGGTGAAACACTCACATCAGCAATTGGACGAGTGCATCTTATATTGGGTGATGTCTCAGCAGCTGAGAAGCAATTTTTAATAACAAGAGACACACCGCCGTCGTCGAAGAATATCAGGGAACTTGTCGATCGAGGATTAATGGCAGTGGCACAAAATGCATTTCAAGAGGCCTTAAATTGCTTTCAAAGTGCATCGGCACTAGATCCTTCGAATGTTATGTTACGTAATAATATTGCCGTTTGTTTATTGTACACCGGAAAATTGGAAGCGGCTGTTCTTCTAATGGAAAATGCAATGACAAGAAATCCCATAAAATGTCTTCAGGAATCGATAATTTTAAATCTCTGTACATTATATGAATTACACACGACACACAGCAAACAATCAAAATTACATTTATTGAGGCAAATTAATAAATTTAAGGGTGATTCCTTTGATATTGGATGTCTTCAACTAGGTACGTAGGTAAATAAAATTGTTAAATTATTTCTTCAGATTTAAGATTTATTTTCTTCAATTTCTTATTTATTGCAATCTTTACAATAAGAAACAAAAAATGTCTATAGAATAATGTTTATAAATAATTAAAGTAATTATAAATAAATCAATCTTGTTTATTAAATTACTTCAAATTAAACAACTTCTTCCTTTGGTTTCACAGGTTTCGCACTCATCTAGGTACTAAAAGCTACAATTCACCATTTTTTTTAAATTTACAAATAAAATTTTTCGCAAGAATTCAACTCTTTTTATAATTAATTAAATTCTTTGCAGGATTCCAATTATTTTCGAAAATAAAAAATGTTTCGCTACAATTTAATTATTTTTACAAATAAGAAAATTCTTCACAAGGATTTAATTATTTTCATAAATAGTAAAATCCTCCATAGAAATTCAAATAATTTCATAAATAACAACTTTTTTCGCAGGAATTCAATTATTTTTATAAATATTAAAATTCTTTACAGGGATTTGATTATTTTTAATGTAATTTTTATTAAATTCCTCATACAAATTTAACTATTTACATAAATATTAAAATTCTTTGCAAAAATTCAATTATTTTCAATAAAAATTTAGTAAAATTCTTTGAAAGAATAAAATTACTTTCATAAATAACAAAATTTTTCGCCATTTTTTTTCGCTTGCTTTTTGAAAAACCAAACAATTGTTAACGGATTTTAATTATTTTCAAGAATTGTAATTAAATTTCTCAAAAAAATGTAATTGTTTTTAAAAATTTTTTATAAAATTCTTCTCAAGATTTTATTTATTCTTACAAATAATCAAATTCAATTATTTTTCAAAAATTTTAATAAAATTCTTCTTAGGATTTCAGTTATTTTTAAAAATAATAAACTTTTCGGCAAGAATTCAATTATTTTCTTAAATAATAAAATTCTTCGCAAGGTTTTAATTATTTAAAAAAATTTGCATAAAATTCTTCTCAAGATTTAAATTATTTTTATAAATAATAAAATCCTTCGCAGGAACTTAATTATTTTCATAAATGACAAAATTAGGCATTCGCAGAAATATAATTATTTTCAATATTAAACTTTTAATGAAATTCTTCGAAAAAATTCAATTATTTTCAAATAAAACACATTTTTTCCCAAGAATTCAATTATCTTTATCCATAATAAAATTCTTTACAAGATTTCAAATATTTGTATATATAAATAACAAAATTCGTCGTAAGAATTTAATTATTTTCATAAACAATAAAATTCTTAAAATAAAATAAGAATAGAAGAATTCAATTATTTTTCATTAAAATCATTTCATCACATGAAACTTAAATTACTATCATAAATATTACAATCCTTCGCGTGAATTGAATATTATTTTTAATAAAATTTTGATGAAATTTTGTTTGGACAATTTAATTATTTCTGATTTAAAATGATAAATGTTACAAAAATCATAATATTTTTTTAATGAATATATTATTTTTTAAAATAAAAAACTGAATTCATTTATTAACGCAAGACTGAAAAATAAAATAATTTGTAAATTTTTCTTGCAAAAATAGTCTCACAAAATTTATTGTCTAAATCTGCATTAAAAACAAATTTGAAGCAAAAATAGAAACAAAACTGTCATGAAATTTGTAAAAATTAATTTTTTAATTCGGCACAGAACAAGAAATAAAAATTAATAAAATCCGTTGTTTCAGGATAATTTAATTAATTTTAAATTTCAAAAAATAAAAAATTATCAAAAAAAATAGGTGAACAAAAAAGAGAACAAATATACAAGTAACTTTAAACTATAAGCAAACAGCCGGAATATTTATAATAAATAAAGTTTTAAATAATTTTATGTAAAAATTGGAAATTTAAAAAATAGTTGAATTCCATAAATAATTTTAAGCAATTGAAAAATTGAAAAATTTTGTTTAATTACGTTGAAATAAATTTTATATTTTCAGGAATTTTATTTTTTTTTACTTAAACAATTAAATAGTCTTAAAGCTACTTTTTTAAAAATTAATTAACGAGTGCGAATCCTCATTTCAACTAGCATTCATAGACTTGAAAAATAAACCTATTTTTGGTATATAAAATAAAATTTTCGCTTATTGACATAATTTTTATTTAATTCTTTGTATTAGAAGAAATATTTAAAGAGTTCGAATTAATTTTTCATACAAATAGGGGAGAGTGGGGCAAACCGGTCATACCTACGGTTTTTTGACTCTTGTGACTAAACGAATCAACCGATTTCATTTTTCGATTGCTTGTTTGAAAGATCATTTAATTGCGCAACTTTTTCCCAGAGGCACCTATACTTTATCTTTTATTGTTTAGTTGCTGTGTTAACTTTAAAAAAATTTGCAAACGGGCCGGTTTGCCCCACCCCCTGGGGTAAACCGGCCACCCCATGGGGCAAACCGGTCAGTTGGGTTTTTTATCTACAATATTGCATTTGTATAATCTACAATAACAATAAACATAAAGAAACATGTGAACAATGGTTGTTATAATTTAAATAATAATACAGGATTGAATTTTAATTAGATAAATAATTTTTTTAAATAACAAAAAAAAAATGTTTGAAATTATCAGAGAAACAATATTAAAGGGTCTAATTATCATTGGAAGATAATTATTTTTCATTGAAAGTAAATATTTTAATGAAAAAAACATTCTAATTAATAATAATTTTCTTGAAACTCTGATACAATGGAAATATCCTATAGCCGGTTTGCCCCACAGGCTCATTTTGAGAATAAATATTTGTTTAAAAGAAACGCTTTGCAAATTCATCAAAGTTTTTGGTGGTAAATATTCCTGAGGTGTGTACCTTCAAAACCCAAGACCTAATATTTGGAAATATTTATACACTATTTCCTAAAAAATTCCTTAAGAAAAAATTCGTAAAAGTGTAGAAAAAAACTAAAAAAAAACTTTTGCTCCCAGCGTCCCAGTAAGAAGCGAGGAATTAAAAAGGATTGAAATAATTCAAACTCTGTATGGTGTAGTAGAAATTATCCAATACTTTTGAATGCCATTTCTGTCCAATACTTTTCTATACCATGATAGGACCACGTTTCGTCTAAAAATGAATGCTATTTAAGGACGCTGCACGGTGGGAAATATTTAAAAGTACGCATAGGCGTAGCGAGCGATTTCTCCTCAACTTCCACTCTTTTCCCCTCTTTTCGTCCCTCTTGGTGAAATTTTTTGACTTTGATAATTAATTAAAAAAAATCCAGATTGAAAATGAAAAAAAGGGCGATTTAGGGAAAAATAATATTTAATAGAGAATATTCAACAAGTTTTCTTATGACGATTAGATGTTTCTATGGGCGTGAATATCAATCCGCGTTTTCCAAAACATAGCAAACTGACAGCTCAATATGGGAGGTTAGCCATGGCCGACTATATCAGGTTGCACCGTTTGCGTAGTACAGTAGAAATGAACGTAAGGAACAAAAATATTAAATGTCAATTATATACTCTCATTGTTTACTATTACATTTATTATTTGTTTATTTATTTATTATTGTTATTATATCTATTATTATTTATTATTTTACTTACTTTTTAAAAATATTATTATGGAAAAGTATTAAAACAATAAAGGAAAATTTTTTATGAAAAAATTATTAAACAAATAAAATTTCTAAACAAAAAAAAAGTAAATAATAAAAAATTATGAAATGTATAATTTTAAAAATTTTTAATGGTTATTTTTATTATTGATATTTTTAAGTATATGAAAAATCTAATTTAAATATTACACAAAATTATTTTTAAAGTAAATTTTTTATAAGGAATTCAACGGTCATAAAATAAAAGCGGACAGAAAATATTTTGACCCTTTTTCAATTTTCATTTTTCTTAAAAATTGGTGGATTTCGAAACACACGCGTAATTTGGTAGAAAATATGTTTTTAAATCCATGAAAAGAATTCCAAATGAAATCGATGATTTTCATAATTACCTATAGAAGTATTGTTTTGAAAAAAATCTTTGTTTTTAAACTGAAAATTCTAAAAATAACATTGTTATTCAATTTTTCTATATGGAAAATTATTTGTTTACTTATTTAGTTTCTGATCAAAATTTAATCTTAATTTTTCTGTATTTCTATTTTTCATCAATAAAAATTATGATATGAAATTATTTAGAAAAATAAATGTCAAAAAATGCCCTTTTTTAATAAAAAAAAAAGCTGCAATGTATTGAAAAAAGACGAAAATTTAATAATCTACTTCAAAAATTGTTAGAAAAAAATTGCAAACATCAACGTCGTTTTCTCAAGACAAAAATGGTTTTCATAATTGGAAATAAATTCTGAGTACCTCCGTGTTTCAGAAAAAGGACTTTTTTCATAAAAAAGATCCAACTTTATGACAAAAATTATGTTTAATAATATTTTCATAAAAAATTTACATTACTTTGTTTTATACTTTTCCATTATAATATTTCTAAAAAGTAAGAATAATAATAAATAATAATAGATAAATAAACAAATAAATATAATTATTTATATAATATTAAATAATAAAAGTAATGACTTATTATTTTTGTTGATCATCTACGTTCCTACATTACCATAGCGTAAATACTTTCAACACGAAAATGGTGCAACCTGTTATGGTCGGCAAAGGCCTACATCGAGCTGTTGCTTTGTTTTGTAAAACGCGGATTCATATTTACGCTCCTAGAAACATCTAATCGTCATAAGTAAGTTTGAATTATATTCTCTATTAAATATTATTTTTCCTTAAATCGCCCTTTTTTTCATTTTCTGTCTGAATTTTTCAAAATTAATTATCAAAGTCGAAAACTTCCCCTCTTTTGGTGTAATTTTTTACTTTGATAATTAATTTTTAAAAATTCAGACAGAAAATGAAAAAAAGGGCGATTTAGGGAAAAATAATATTTAATAGAGAATATAAAACAAATTTTCTTATGACGATTAGATGTTTCTATGGGCGTAAATATCAATCCGCGTTTTACGAAACATATCAAACTGATAG